CAACATTCCATGCCAATCCTCCTCTTTTTTGCTGAGGGAGACTGGCCCTGGGCTAACATCCATGCCCATCTTCCTCTGCTGTATATGGGACACCACCACAGCATGGCCTACCACAAGGTGCGTTGGTGCGCGCCCGGGGTCTGAACCCGCAAACCCCGGGCCACCGCAGCGGAGCGTGGGGACTTAACCGCTTGCACCACCAGGCTGGCCCCTGTATCCTTTTCTTTTTAAAAAAATAGTTTAGTATACATAGTATCTTTTTATCTCTGAAAAACAGAGTCATCACCTCTGTTTTTCTGCTTCCCTTATATCTACTGGCAAGCTGTCCTTGCTGCAAAAAGAACTTTGCAGACATTTTTTAAAAACACCCAACTATTTTGTATGTCATGATTGTTATGGAAACAGCATGTCACATAATCATCAATGAAAAGGGAAAACCAGGTCTGGATAACTGGGGAACCCCTGTGGTAAGCTTTTAAATCATCTTTTTTTTAGAACACGCTCAAAATGAAAAAAGAATCTGAAAGCCATCATGTGGATAAGAACTATTGACAATCTCACCATCAATTTGTGTATCTGCCACCTGCGGATCCACTGCAGAATAACTACTACTGTCCTTTTTTTGTGTAGTACTGTATTATTCCCATACTTGATTTCATTAATCCCAGTTAACCTGTATCAGCCTTTGCTATCAAAGTCTAGAATAACAAATTCTCCAAGCTGGAAGAGAGTTTAGTCTTCATCTGGTGAGTCCCACTAATTTTACAGATATGGAAAAGAGTCAGAATGACTGAGTGATTTGCCTAGTGCTCGTGTGGCTAAATATAAGGGCTGCCCATCCTATGGCCTCCATTTTTTGCCTTTGTAGGGTAAAGTAGTAGAGACTAGATGCAAAGTCCAGCTCTGATATTTACTAGCTATGTGACCTTAGATGTATTACTTAACCTCTTCAAGTCTCAGCTTCCCCATTTGTCTGTAAAATGGGGATAATAATATTATTTATTTATAGAGTTGTTATGAGGATTACATAAGTTAATATATATTTTTAATACTCCTTACCTTCTCTAAGTATTAACTATTATTATCTTGTCTGTTTTGTTCACTGTCCCATCCTGAACACCCGTGCTAATCACCTGAGCAGTACCTGAGCAGTAAATGTTTGTTAAATGAATAAGTGACTAGATGAAGGAGGAGCCACGTCTCTA